TATTGTAAGCTCAAAAATAGGTATATTTTTATGCCTTTTTGGTGTCAACGTTAAGCATCTGAAGGCATCTCTGAAGAAAGGTGGTAGCCGAACAATCCAGGAATTGGCAGACATGTGGTCTGTGATCGCAAAATCATCGAATAAATGGCTTATATAGTCAAAAATTCAGAATTCGAGGGACACATAGCCCACGGACGCGAGACAACGAACACCGCTGCGGCAAAGCCTTGCTACACCGAGTTTTGCAAAAATTGCATTAAATGGTCGGTGAAAGGAAATGTGCAACGTAAATAGTATCACTAAATGCATAAATTGTTAGTCAGTTGTTTTTCTTCGTTGTCAAGCTTTTTGAATAAATTTCAACAAAGATTAACGGGAAAACTAAGGAAGAAAAAAGATGTCGAAAATGGAATTTTTGCCACTTCAGATTTTTCGGTTTGTAGTAGAATTTTTTATTCAAGTTTTTAAAAACTGAGAATATAATGATAGTATTTTGGTAGAGAAAACTTAGAGCTTCCGAACGCATACTTACACTATGCCAATGCTTTGCAAAATATTGAGAAAAAATCAAAACAAAAAATGCGAACGAACTTATTACACAACCTAATACATAAACTAACACTTTTACTATTAGGGTGTTCGGAAAGTAATGGGACACCTAAAAATAAAGTAGTTTTCTTGAACAGAATCTTAAATAAAAAAATCAATTGGATGTCCAAGTTTTGGGAGATGTTAGTACTTAGCAAGATCTCCTGAAAGGTCCATAGATTAAACGCTCAAAATTGAAGCTCGTCAGTTTAAGTATTTGCGAACTTGAAGCAGCAACGCCGCAGTAAAACAAGTGAGGCTGCCAAAAAATATATGCGTTGCCGGTTAAGGGACTGTCACCAAATCAACGGTCCCAAAGCTTGCAGCAGAAGATATAGCATTGAGTATAAGGTAAATTATTATTTATTCTTCATCGAGGTGATCAAATGGGCTCACTTTTGACGAATGGCACCTGATAGGGCTGTTTACGCTCAGGGTCCGGCACGAAGTGGGCAGACGGGGTTTTCCAAAACGAATTCCCCTTTGACCCCAATAGTCTTTAGGAATACCAGCTTGAGCCCAAAAATGACACTTTGTGCTTGTGGAACGAGAGCACCGGCCATACTTTGCCTAAAAGCGCTCAAAAGCGCCCAAAATGCTCAAATTCCTCTAATCACTCCTCACCTGTATCGAGATAGAGAACAGGAAGAAGAATAAGCAAGGAAAATGATGAAGGAATGAAAAAATAACAAAGGAACGCAGTCATAGGACTGAGAGACGCCGTTCCCGCGCGTATCGATTGACTGGGGCGCGCTTTCCATCTTAGATAGTTAGACTGCTGATGCGATTTTGGCTGGGTTCATACTGATTCCCATGTTCTGGAACTGTTCCCGCACAGTTCTCGCACTGTGCTGGAACTGTGCGAGAACTGTGCGGGAACAGTTCCAGAACTGTGCTGCATGCGCTGCAGCCGCCCCGCACCGTTCTGAACGGCGGGAGTTGGAGGATTTTGACCGTTCTCAACGGTTTTTCTTCCAGATTTCGCTCATTTTGGCCCTAATCCTCCACCCCGCTTCCCTTTTTGATCAGCAGAACCTCGAACTCGAAGCGGGGTTGAAGAATGAGCGCTTTTCTCCGCCGTGTATTCGGAAAGATGGGCTATCGTGCGATTGTTTATTCTGTCTTCGCGCTTTTTGCTCAAAACTACTTCATTTGTTCCAGGAAGCGGCTGCCCAGTTTCCATAGCCATCTGCCACGAATTAGGGAGTACGAGAAATCCTGAAATTGCATGAATTGGGACTTGCCTCTTGTTTTTGATGATTTTGGGCGTTCCCAGCCTTTTTCGTTTTTCCATATCGCTGTTTCTCCGTTCCTTCTTCTACCCCGCTTCTCCTAGTGATGAGAAAAGTTGTGAATTTTAAGCGGGGTTGAGAATTGAACGCTGTTCTTCTTCATGTATCCGGGAAGATGGACTTCGTGCGCTCGTCCATCTTCTCTGCCATTTTTGTTCGGGCCTACTTCATGTGTTTTAGAGACTTGTCTATTTCAATTTCAATACAGATGCGAGACTACGCAGCGGCTTGTTAGTACACATGAAGTAGGTCTGAACAAAAATGGCAGTGAAGATGGACGAGCGCACGAAGTCCATCTTCCCGGATACATGAAGAAGAACAGCGTTCAATTCTCAACCCCGCTTTAAATTTACAGCTTTTCTCATCACTAGGAGAAGCGGGGTAGAAGAAATAACGGAGAAGCAACGACATGGAAAAACGAAAAAGGCTGGGAACGCCCAAAATCATCAAAAACAAGAGACAAGTCCCAACTCATGCAATTTCAGGATTTCTCCTACTCCCTAATTCGTGGCAGATGGCTATGGAAACTGGGCAGCCGCTTCCTGGAACAAATGAAGTAGTTTTGAGCAAAAAACGCGAAGACAGAATGAACAATCGCACGATAGCCCATCTTTCCGAATACACGGCGCAGAAAAGCGCTCATTCTTCAACCCCGCTTGGAGTTCGAGGTTCTGCTGATCAAAAAGGGAAGCGGGGTGGAGGATTAGGGCCAAAATGAGCGAAATCTGGAAGAAAAACCGTTGAGAACGGTCAAAATACTCCAACTCCCGCCGTTCAGAACGTTGCGGGGCGGCTGCAGCGCATGCAGCACAGTTCTGGAACTGTTCCCGCACAGTTCCCGCCAGTTCCAGCACAGTGCGAGAACTGTGCGGGAACAGTTCCAGAACATGGGAATCAGTATGAACCCAGCCTTTGGGCTCTAACAAAGACAAGAGGAGAAGTTTCGGAACCAAGATCTCACCATATAGTAAACTTTAGGTGAACAACAGATTTATGTAAAATTTTTGAAAAAATTATGTGAATTGAAAGTTTTGCCCACTTCAGGTGGGCATTAGGTAGGCAATTGCCCACCTAATTTGGAAAAAAGTTAAGCACGCTCTTCATTCACATTAGTTTTTCATAATTTTTCATACATTGTTCCTTAGTCCTACTGCGCATATACACACCAAGTCCCGCGCGATTTCGTTTTCACTGCGCTGACGAGCCATTTTTCCATTTTCTTGATAGTGGGAAATTTTCAGAAAAAAGCTTGCCACAACAAGCCCTGCAGGCCCGTGTTCATGTACCTACCAAGTTTCATACCGTATGGTCATCTGTGCGCTGCAAACGAGCCATTTGAATTCACATCTTCATTTACCATTTTTGCGAAATTTTTGGAAAAAATGCTTATTACACCTCCCATTCACATAAGTTTTTCATAACATTTCATGCTTTGTTTCTGCTAGCCTCTCTTTGTTCGCTTACGTAATTTGGTGCTATCATTACGCCTGCATTGAGAACTGATCGTGTAATCATGCTGTTCAACGGCATCGCTCATGCGACGTCGCGCACGCGGCAATCAGCGGCAACGCGGGGTAGTGCGCGCGAAGTCTGCTGTGCGTTGAGGTTCATTAGAACTATTTTCCGATGAATTAGATGTATAAGGTAAACATGATTCGACCTTCTTTTGCTTGCACTTGGAATCTTCTTCCGGGGCTCCGCCCCGGATCCCGCAAAAACGATATCCCCTTTGCTTTTTAGCCCCAAAACGATTTCCAGCTTGTCATTTGCCCACCTCGTGCCGGGCCCTGTTTACGCTCCATCCATACATGCGCAATTTACCTCGAGCAAACCTCGCATTCAAAAATTGTGGGCCAAACCGGTTTTTTAGCCTCAGAGTCTGCCAAATATTGCACTTTTTCGGATAATCTACTTCTTTCATATAAAATTACGGAGAATTTTTGCAAGTTCAAACGATCATTACAAAGGCTTCCAAAGCACTTTCGAATGGCATGTCATATGCCCCGGGATTTCAAGGTACTGTAAGACAAATTCGGATGGCGTTCAAAATAGTCTGTCTGCCTTTTCTGAAGCGCTGCGCGAAGGATTGTAGGATACGAGCTGCAAGTTGCTGCCAGGATAACATGCGAAGACCACTTTATACAAAAATATCTCTACTGCTGGTTGTTATTGTTTATCAGAGAAAATCATCGCAGCTGCAAAAAATCGAAGTGTCCCATTTTTCGATCAGCCTAATATTTAATTTAATTTCGTAACAACTCAAACTATTGATGTAATCATTCGATCTAGCATGAGCTGTGGTAGGTAACGTAAAATTATCGCAGAATAACTTGTGAAATAGTAGGAAAACTTGTAAATTTGCGTAGATTAATTCTAGCATGGTGCCAGATATGAAATGATATATTCGATGTTACTAATAACTGAGACTAGTAAGACGAAAACTTGTCTTTCTGATTAGGCATTTGTTACTATCTTTTTGGGATGCATTCTATTTTTACACGCTTGTGCAAATTTGAAGCAAACAAAAACAATAGCAGAGCTAATAGCGACTTCCATAAAATACATTGCATTAATCGTTAAGACCGACTGAACCAGCATCGTCATGTTTCTTTTGTAAAAAAGTCGGTAATATATAAGTCTGAAAGATATATTGTTTTCGTAACCAGCATGCTCAGTACCTCCTCCTTCCCACTCACCAGCTCCGAGGCCCTTAGCTCAAAGTTTGCAAAAATCTCGATGAATGCGCTTGTTGATTCTGAGATTGAATGTCCTATCTATAATTGGCGTTCACCTCTTTGCTAACTCCTCTCTAGTATTGACGGAGCCAAAGAAGCCGGTCGCCAACTCTTCTTTGAAATCTCAACAGATTAACAATGCTTGAAGTATGGTCCTTATACATTTGTCCGTTACCATAGGAGAGAGTGCTTTATTTACATACAAAATATCGTTGTGCCTATTTAAAAAGGTGAAATTGCGGGAAACCGCGCGGCTCCCGCAGCGAACGCTCCCACAATTTTGGCACCCTTAATGTACTGGCTCACTAATACAGAAACGAAAGAGATACCTAATTCTGCAGCATGTGTTTATTCACAGGTATTGTGACATGGAAGCAGCGGATATTTAATGACGAGTCATTGGTACAGTGTGCTCAAGTAAAGTTCTCTTTGCCAAGTCATACGCGTAAATGGCAATCGAAAGCAGTAGTTGCACATAAGTCAATGAGGAGCTACCGACGAATAGTCCAAGCTGTCCACCAAGCTCCGACAAGAAATTTAGTGTTGTTGTAAGTCGTATCTCTCGGTATTCTTCATACTAAAACGCCATTACTGGGTTTAATATTGTTGGAGTATTTGCGCTTACCTGAAGTTCACCAAATGATGCCTCTACCTCATACGAATAGTTGCGTGGTGAAGGACCTCGAATTTTGGACGACTGAAGACTCCATTGATTTTCGATGCGTTCACATGTTGGAAGACACTGTGAAACATTCAACTTTGATCTCTGGTGTTTGAATGGAAACATCGAACATTGAACTCTTCCGTTATAGGTGCAGTGATATGCTCATATGATTGCGCAACTTTTGCCGGTTCGCAAACTGTTATATTCGCCAAATACGGAAGAATCTCATTGAAGGGCGGCAAAGTGCAGTTTAGAATGTTTACAACCTTTTTCTTGATCCATTTGCGCACGAGGCATGCCGTTTTTTCTGAAAACACAGTCGTTTGAATGAATAAGCCTATGCAATCGTTTCTCACTTAGAAATTTAATCTAGAACGATAGCTACTATATTCTTTCAAGAAGTATGGTTACTAACCTTTCTTGCCTTTGTTGTGAGAAGCAAAACATTGCTTTTCATTGAGCATCGATATCCTTTTCTGTTTGAAAACAAAGCGATTCCAGTGGTCATAGTTCAGAAATATACGAGGAAATGGACCAATCTCTACAGTGGAACTGCCTAAGTAAATTACTAGCTCCTAGAATTTGAAGTTTTGTTATATCACGAATGGGTGACTAAGACGTGTACATTTATCGCATTCCGAATCAGCCGTGCCTCCGTGACCTGCTTCAAATAGATGTGAAGTTTTCCAATTTCATCGTATTCTTTCTGATAGTAGTCATCAACAAGACTGAAGCATCTATAAATCAACTTTTGTAAAACCTTTGAAACATCTATACGTGTTTTGTCAAATGTTCAGACATTCTACAAATTCTTGTCCCAAAATTTTAGAGTACACAAAAATGACTCAATCACGGCGCTTTCCGACCATTTATTACAGACTTACCGGTTTGAGTATCCACGCAGCTCAGTGCGCAACTTTTAAAATCAAAAGGTTCCCAGCTTGTCCTAATACACCGGGTAGGGAACTATATGTCGCCGAAAAAAGGTGGTTCCCGCGGTCATTTACGACAAATACGCGCCCTTGTATATGCGCGGACATGCGTTCCTACAAGAAATCCTAACGGGACTCTTCCACATTCGGCGACATATAGTTCTCCACCCTAATACACCTGTCTTTCGTACGATTTTGACACAGGTAGCCTCATTCTGCTCTATCGAAATACTATACTTCAATGGGGGTGGAGAGAGTGGGCTCCCTTCTTCCCTTTTGGCAAGGGATCTCGAAATTTTGAAGGCGGTCTGCACGAGCTCGAGTAGAGGGCTTGTTCAATGGCAGTGTCCAGGCAAATCTGTGCATATGGGTTTTTTGCCTGGATACTGTCGAGGAGGCTCTAGCTAAGGGCACTGCCCAAACCGCAGTGCAAATAATTCATTTATGGCTAAGAAATCCATCCACAAACACTCCGCTGCTGCGCCATGACCGTAACACTTAGTATTAGTCCCAGCGCGAACGTTGTGTTAAAATGAGCGGAGTCGTTTTTAGGTTACAATCACGGCGCAGGCGTGTGGTTTTCGGGGACGAATTTTTCAGCCTTGATTGAACAATCTGCCAGCCTCTTGGGCAGTGCCTTAATTGGGACCCCCTCTCAATTTCCAGGCGAAAGAGTTATGCGACCAGATTTGCCTGGACACTGCCTTCAATTTGTAAGCAGTTGGTATAGTAGCCCTACTGTCATCTTCAAAAAGATTTACTACACAGTATATATTGCAGCTAGTACGTTCGCCATGCATGGGAATGAGAGGACCAGGTGAGCCATTTTTTCGAATTTTGCACCGCAAGCGGGTTCACGTGACCTGCGCCAGCAGATGCAGGTTTGCGATCAAGAGTTTAGGCTGCGTTCGTACTGATCCCGAAGTATGCGAACAGTTCCAGCACAGCGCTCAATTTGAACACTGTGCTGGAACTGTTCCCGAACTTCGGGATCAGTATGAACGCAGCCTTATCGCGAAGTTTGAGTTCGAGATAATTGCAAGGCATATACTCAACTCGAAAATTGCAAAAAGCAGAACTCTCATCGTTTTTTATTTGTATGTCTTTCAACTGCGCTAGTGGGAGGATATCATTAGTGTAGTACGACCATGGCCAGTCTCTGCAAAGCAGAAATAAGGCATTGGTTCTTCCATAAGCAAAAGAACCATTTTGAAAGCGATACATACCTTCCTCTTGTGAGCACGAATGTCGGCTTGAATAGTTTGCAGCAATCTAATTCTACTGAACTTGTGCGGCATTTGTGAAATAGCTGCAACATTTCGGTTGCTAGCTGCATTTTTAAATTACCACAAAAAATCAACTTCGTAGCAGGTGTAGCCATTTTCTACAAAGACAAAGTGATACATGTCTTGTTGCGTGCGGTTTCCTCGCCATGCTAGGAAAATGTTGTCTAGTTTGGACCTGCAAAAACATTTCCGGCTACAAATCTAACACTTTCGCTCACCTGTAATTCAGAGTCCATTTTTCGATTTTTATATACTGCAACCCGCTGCCAGCGATTAGATAGAGAAGAACATCACCAGCAAGCTGTTCATCCAACTCCCCCAATCTGGATCGCATATCTGTTATGTTGATGCTCTTGTAAGGCAACACTCTATGAAAAAAGTCGGGACTGACTGCTTTTATGCAGACTTACACGTAATAACCTCTACCCTTTTTCAATGCATTTCCTACCTGCAAACCCGGGTTTCGCTTCATATGTCAGTTTTGCTAACGTTTTCGAATGAGAAGTTTTTCTCAAAAATGCACACAAACTTATCACATAAAGATTACGTCATCAGGCCGCAGAATTTTGAAAGTATCTAAGAACTGATAACTGAGGTTGACTACCTCAAAGTACAGGGGTGGGGGAAAATCTTTGAACACGGTATTTTTGACGTAATGATGAAGCTAGGCATAACGTTTACATGAAATTGATAAGTAATGTTTACTTAACTGTCTGCTACACAAAGCTGGCTTTACAATTCAAAGATTCCTCCTTTGAAGCGAGCACAAGCTCGGAAACGCTTGGGAACGGTGTCCATGATGGCATGGAGGTGCTTCACGTCAATTTCTTCCAACGCCTTCTGAAGAGCAAGTCGCAAAGACTTCATTGTTTTGCATGGGTGAGCGCAGGCTTTGGCCTAAAGAACTGACCACACGCTGTAGTCGAGGGTATTTAGATCCGGCCAATACGGAGGCCATTCCGCAGGAGTAATGAACCCCTTGATGTTGCTTTGGAGCCATGCTTGACCAAACTTCGCTTTGTGCGCAGGTGCGCTATCCTGCTGGGGACCCCAATCGCTCCTGGTAAAATGGATGTTGATCCAGGACAACAATCCCTTCTTCAGGATGCCTATCCACGTGCGTAGCGGTGTCCACCTCGATGTCCTGGGATACAAAAATGCCAGCATCTTGCTGTCGGAAGCGATCGCCGCGCAAACCATTACAGACTTCGGATGAAGCTTTCCTTTTGCGAGTCAGCCCTTGCTACTGACTTCTGGAGGCGATTAGATAATGATACTGTTGTTTGGCAATCGAAAACTTTCCTCACGGTAAAAATTTTGATGTCAGAAAAGAGTATTGTTCGGTGGCGTGGCTGGAGAAACGTTCAAGCAGTCGATGGCCACCTGCGCAGTCAGTTCAGCTTCGTGTCCTCCCAAAAAGCATGAAATTTTAGCATCCTGAAAAGCTTCATCGCAAGGCCCTTTTTTACGATGTCGGAGACTCTTCTGCCAGAGATGGAAAGCTCTGAAGCCAGCTCAATCAACTTCATTTTTCATTTCATTTTCATTCATAAGCTCGAGGCGTTCCAAATCAAAAACAATAAAGTGTTAGTCATACATGGAACACAACAGCAACAAATAACAAATCACCACGTCGTCCTAGGCCCAGTCTAAACGACTTACTAAGAAAAGTAATGTAGTAACAATGTGATAATAAGCTCGCATGGCTTGTATCTCGGCTGCACGTTATCTTGTGCTAGTATAGACTCTATGGAGAAGTACCCATGCCCCCTCGTTTGCCAGCAAGGAACGATCTTTATATAATACATAAAAGCAAACCGGAAGTTCGGGTGGCGGGTATACTGGCAAACCCCGCCCAACACGGTTTGCTGGGGAGGGTCCTGAGCTCCAAGCATAAACAGGAAAGTAGGTTGAGCAACGTAGTAAGAATCAGCAAGCCGTATGAATAGTAATAAGTTGACAGTCAGGCTGGGCCCATAACTACATGGTCTAGTCACGTTAGTAGAAGAACAAATCTAGCAAAGCAGAGAAAAAAAGTAGAAGATGTTGAACACTTGCACTGATTGAATCGGAAATGCGCACGGATGGCAAGAGAGAGCATAAAGCGATTGGAAGCGAGCTCCACTAAACGCACAACCACCAGCTGACGTAATGAGACAGATATAAATTAACCAGGCCATAAATGAAGGTTCCAAAACCACGCAAGAAAACCTGAAAAAGAAAAGAACACTTTTAGGAATAGATGCGAGAAAGGAAAAGTAATGAAAAAAAAAGTAATCAAAAGTAAAGACTTGCGAAATCCAACTGGTAAGCTGTTCTTATTGAACAAAAAACCTAAATTAGACTTAAAACGAATAAAAAAGTATTAACAGAGGTACGGCCCACAATGCAAAATATTAGGGATATCAATCTTTAGCAAACTTCTTTTAAAAGCCCAGCTATTTTTGGCAGTTAATAATTTGGGAGGTAGTCGATTGAGCCAGCGTGCACAGCGATAGAACAATGAGTTGAAAAGACCGGAAAAGAAGCTCTTTTGTAACTTAGGATAATGTAAATTAAAGCCGCCACGCCTACAATTAGCAGGTCTAAAGATCCAAAACCTGCTAGCTCTCACATCAACCTCTTTTCGCAATATACGAAAACAAAAAACTAAGTCAGCCACTATCCTTCTATTCATCAGCGATTTCAATCCAAGCATTCTAAGGCGTTCCACATAAGATGGAATGTCTTCTCTGGATATACTACGCATCTTGCGATACATAGAGGACCATTTTCGTAAACACTCGCTGAACCCTTTCAAGTTTTAGAGTCTCCTTTCTACATGAGGGGTTCCATACTTGAGAGCAATACTCCAAATGAGGGAGCACACAGGCTTTATACAGTCTGATGAGAGTGTTTTCATCACATGTATGAATGTTGCGAAAAATAGCAAACAGCGAAGAGTACGCTCTTTGCACGACATAATCAATGTGTTCAGTAAATTTCAACTGGGAATCAATCAAAACACCTAGGTCCCTGACCAATGAACACATTGTCAAAACAGAATCATTCACTTCATAATCGAAAGGTCTTATTCTCCCAAAATGCAGAAAGGAGCACTTGCTAGGATTCAGAGAAAGACCATTACGCGTCGCCCAAAAGCCCAACCTTTCAACGGATGACTGTAGTGCAGCATGCATAGCGTGATGATCCTCTTCATTATAAGAAACATACAGTTTATTATCATCCGCGTAAATCTGTACGCTCACTCCACCCAAAGTCAGAAGAGAAGGTAGTTCCATAGTAAAGATAAGAAAAAGAAGAGGAGAAAGTACCCCACCCTGGGGTACACCACTAGTACACTGATATCTCTTGGAATAAGACTGTCCAACCTTGACTGTGATAAATCTGTTTTCAAGATAAGATCGGAACCACTGTAGTAAATTTCCCTCTATTCCATAGCCTTGTAATTTGGATAGTAATACATGGTGGGAAATCTTATCAAAAGCTTTCGATAGATCCACATAGACAACATCAACAGATAACCCAGCATTAAGGGCTTTTCTCCAATCAAAAACACTTGCAACAAGATTAGTTGTAGTTGACCTTCCAGGTAAAAAACCATGAAGCTCAGGAGGAACTGGGTGGAAGTTTTTCAGCCAACGAAACAACTTCTTTCTGATGATTCTTTCCATGACTTTGATTGGAGTGGGCGTAAGACTTATGGGACGAAAATCAGATACTGTAGAGGCAGATGCAGTTTTTGGGATTGCAACAACGATAGCTTCCTTCCACAAACTAGGTACTTCACAAAAATCAATGGAGAGATTGAATAGCTCAGAGAGAGGCTTTGAAAGTAAGTCGGCACACTTCCTATAGATAATAGGGGGAATCCCATCATAAGGCTCAGTGCAAGATGAGCTGGACCTCAAAATGACTCGAACATCATCAGGCCGAAAATGTATCGTATTACAAGTTTGCTGAAGGGCGGAACGATTAACAACAGAAGCACAATGGAGATCTTCGGATGCAGAGAAAACGCTAGCAAAATATCTGCCTAAAGCTTCTGCTTTCTCATCGTCGTTCACAAAGCTGTTCCCACTTTCGTCACTAAGAATGGGAAGATCAGTGCTGTTCTGGAGCTTACGCCGTAAATAACCAAAGAATTTTTTAGAACTTTTACTTGATAATCTACGCTCAAAATTTGATAGGAACTTTTTTAAATGAAAGGCTAGATCAGAACACACTTTCTTAAAGAACGGGTTTGATAGCGGGTCATTCATTTTATTGAACAAATTGTGTTTTTGGTCTATAAGAGCACGTATGTGTTTTGGATAGTGAATGTTATGAAATTCAAAAGTTTTTAAGCACCCATGTCTACTTAAACCTTCATAAACTTGTGAACAAAAAGCTTGATAATATTCATTTAGCCCTGAGCAGTTCTCATAAACAGCGACCCAGTTGACATTTGCGAAGTAATTATTGAGACCTGCATAGTCAAACTTGCGAAAATCAGGAATGGGATACAACGATTTAGCACAACAGCTTTCTTCTACTTCAAATCGTACGACATTGTGGTCGGCAGAAGCAATAGGTGGATAGATTGCAACATTTTTGATATTCTGAGTATTCGAGAAAATCAGATCTAAAACTGCATTGCTATGAGTTGGTTTGCAAACATATTGTTCAAAACCACTGTGTTTGAAAAATTCAAATAGAGGCTTGGAACCTTGATCAAGCACGATAAGATTCTTCCAATCAACATGAAGATTGAAATCTCCCAATACTACTATAGCTTGGGATCGAATCGATATGAGATTGATCAATAGCTCAGTAAACTGTTCATCATCATGTTGAGTACTATTTGGAGGACGATAAATGTTAATGAACTTAAGTAGACTGTGGCTAGAGGGGCAACAGAGTTCAACGGAAAGCAAATCAATATTAGATACCGTAAAATGGTCAATTTTTTGAATAGAAATATCATTCTTAACGAGGCAGCATACACCTCCCCCAATTCTTTTACACCTATCTGTACGATGCACAGAATAGGGTAAATCATTCACAACTTCGGAATCACGTATTTTAGGGGTAAGCCATGTCTCAGTTATGAACACCAGATCTGGTTTATATCGACAAAGGAAAGAGTGAAGGTGGTCTATCTTATTAACAATACTGCGAGAGTTGAATAAAAAACAATTCAATTTTCTCAGAACACCATGCGGATTCAGTGGTTTCCCGAAGGCCTGTGGGGGAGTTCAGCAACACGCTTGAGTTGCCCTCTATAGACAACCCATTCGCGTGTTGCTTTGCCCCTGTTGCGCTCTCTGGCCTGCTGACGCAGGTCATATTCCA